GTGTCAAATTCAGTCGCTTCGGAAGCTAGTTGTTCCTGATTGCTCTCCGCCGAATGACATTTTTTGATTAAGAGTCGTTGAGACGCATGCCGTAAGTCAAAGCATCCTTCCACCTTCTGATATAATTAAGCTTTTGTTCACACAAATAACGCCTCAGCTCACTGCACTGACCGCTGGAGCGGGACGGCAATCAAGAAACAGAGGGCCATCGAGAGACCGTCGGAGATCTTCCTCGTGTTCCCGCGACCACCCTTACCCGTCTTCATCTAGATTTATTGGTATTGCCATCAGTTCGAAGCCAGAGCGGTAAGATACGTGCAGCCGTGATCATACATCTCTTCTCCTACGGCCTCGGGAAACTATCCCACATTACAGTAGACGCAACTGCTGCTAGGAGTAACATTCCAACATTCACACTCACCGTCTGGTCCTCTGAGATCGTACCAAATTCCTCATTGACTCTTGTGCCGAGGTAAGCGCGATACCGGCCGAACGCAAAGAACATACCAAGTTGTGTCTCACTGTTGCTTATATTTCCTGCATGGCTACCTTTGGCCAATGCTCCCTTACCCTTGGTTTGGGCCGTCCACAATCTTTTGATGGGTTTTCGTAATCGCCGAGGTCTATGTCACTCTTATTGGTGCTTACTGTCTAACTCACTTGAACCTGCTAGTCGATCTGAAAAATCACCGACTCGTTGACAGTGTGACGAACCACCGTGCTCGTTGACAATCCCACGCAAATTAACGCCTCAGCACTCTCAACGTCACACCCATTTCTGACTGTCCATCCAACTCACTTTTCCCCGCCTGACCAACTCCAGTTTTCGGCGTTACCATATTTTCACCACTGGACCTCCCAAATCTTGCCGACGGCATCGTCTTGCCCCAGACCTTTTGCAGATTGCCAAGTCAAATTTTGAAAAACGGCTTGAACTCGGCGTCATCCGACAGTCCGGCAATTTTAGGGCATCATCTCTTCGTATTGTTCCCAAGAAGACAGCTGGCAATTGACGACCATGTGGCGCTTACAAAGCTTTAAAATCATTTACCATTCCTGACCAGTATCCTGTACCACAAATCCAAGATTTCACTGTCTTGTTTCAGAACAAGCGCATTCTCTCCAAGATTGATCTTATTTGTGCTTACCACCCAATTCATATCGAAGCCAGTGATGTGTCTAAAACCGCTTTTACCACTTC